AAAGCCATCCAGCCTTGTTGTATCAGCTGCCCCTCAGCTACATAAAACAGTCGGGCAGCGAACAGCCGCCCCCTTGCCTATTTCACACCTTCCCAAAGTAAAAATTGGCACTAACTGCCCTGTCCTGCACATCCTCCTTATAGGAGGGTGTCAGTCAAACCTACCCTTTGCACATGACATAAAGTACAGCACTGCCAGTTCCGAGTTGTTCCACTCTTGCTCCTCTCCACCCTCCAGGAAGCTCCAGGAAGGACCCTCAGATCAGGTCCCACTTAATACTGAGCTTTGGCAGACCAAGAGTTATGAGGGAGGATTACCCTTCCCCACACCCCCGTTGTTCTGTGCATTCTCATGGCTTCTCTTCTCCTATCCTGTTCTCGCTATTCACTTTAATGCACTCACTTAGCAGAACTAGTGGATTTCCTACATGGGGAATCAAAGAATAGTAGAGTTGGAAGGGGCCATGAAGGCCATCAGGTCCAATCCCTTGCTGTTGCAGGACAGCATGTTACACCACACCACTCAGATGGCTGTCCAATTTCATCTTGACTGCTTCTAGTGTGGGAGAAAGCATGACCTCTCTAGGCAACCGGTTCCTCTGTTGTATTGCTCTGACAATGAGGACGCTTTTCCTACTATCTAGCCTGAATCTGGGTTGTTGCAACTTGAATTGACTATTCCATGTCCTACATTCTGGCATCAGCAAGCAGAGATCTTGACCTTCCTCTTTGTGACAGCCTTTGAGGTACTTCTAGAGTGATATCATGTCCCCCCTCAGTGTCAAGGCTGAACATGCCCAGTTCTCAGTCTCTCCTCATAGGGCAGTGTTTCCAAACCCTGGATCATTTTTGTTGCCCTCCACTGGACCCTTTCTAATTTACCTGCATCTTTCTTAAATCTTGGTGCCCAGAACTGGACACAGTATTCCAGAAGAAGGAAGTTAATTTCCATCCTCCACATTACCCAGACCATTCAAGCTTGGAGCACCAAGCAAGGAGCTGAAGAAGGAAAGGAAGACTAACCAAGGGCTGGGCCTGGCCTTGATAGCCAAGCCACACCTCAGAAGATGCTAGTGAGCTGGGTTCTTCCACCTGCCCCCTGCATGAGCCTAAGGGAGCAAGAAAAGGTGGCGGTGGCACCATTTACAAAGAAAGCATGAGAAAGGAGTCGTTCAATTGTCCTGCTCTGGAGGTCTGACACAGAGCCGCTTAGCACTGTGGGAGGAAATTCTTGGCAGCTCTCCTGGGAATTCAAAGCCAATGGAGTTGACAGGCACCTGGTAAACCACAATTAATAGGTGGACTTGGGGGAAGGCGGCATTCAGAAGAACTTGTAGAAAGGCAGTGATGTTGCCAATCAGATATTTATGAGAGCTAAGCAGACTGATTTCTTTCCACCAACAGCCGAACAGAACAATTGCTTATTTTCTAAAGTGTGTTCAATTGGATTTGAGTTTGGGAAAACAGGAGAGAGTCACAACACACCCTCATGTAATTAATGTAAAGTCATAGTGGCACTAAATCCCAATAAAGTATCCAAGTATACTGAGGAAGTACACATCCAGGCTTTTTTTCAAAATAGAAATCTTATCTTTCAAAGAAGATGGCCGTCTTGACCGCTAAGATAATCTCAGCTCCCTGCCTACTGACGCTCCAATGCAATAGTTAGCAGTGCAGGGTGGGGTCTGGATCTACCCTCTGGGATAAAATGGTGAGAGGGACAGAGCAAGAGAACATCTGAGAGGTGGCAAAAGGAGCGTCCTGTGACTGGGAAGTTGACCCTGCAAACGTCTGTAGATTATTCTCCTATCTGAATTAACTGATCTGTGAAGAAGCAGCTGCAGCTCTTGCTTGCTGTGGTACTGAGCTTTTTGTTTGAAACAGTATTTCCCCTTCTATGTATCATCAAGGAGGCTAAAACAGTGTGCATATCTGATGATTTCAGCTGCAAAACTCGTAGATCCAAAGGGTCACTTCTCCCATTTCAACTGTTCCAAAGAAGTATGAGATCAAAATATATTCAGCAATCTCTGTTTTCTTTTACTGGGATATATAACTGAAATCCTGCAACTGTCATAGCCTTGCTCTGTATAAAGTGTTGGCTAGGCCTGAAAATCTTTGTTGGAAGACTTTTAGGAAACAAATGAACTGGCAAGGCATAGTATCTTAAAGGAAGCTATAAATGGGATAGGTCAAGGACTAGGCATGTAAGCGACAGGGGAAAATCTTCCTTTTAGTTTATACAACTCTAGTTTCCATGTCTGTGTGGACTCCAAATAAGGCATACTAGCTTTTCCAAGCTGTAGGCCTGTACATTTTGCCTGACCTTATAATTCTCACAGTTCTAGACATTCCAAGGTAGAGAGAGGGTCATTCAGACAGAGTTATAATTTCTGGTGCATATGTGCTTCCAAAGTATCTTTTGCATAGTTTCCCAGTGAGATCATGTACCAGGCTTAGGGAATTTTAAATAGGTTATTTTTCAAGCTTGCATACAAAGGACCTGTCAAATTCGACCACTCCGGACTTATCAAGTAAAAGTGTGAGAACAAAAACGGTATACTGCAGCATGTTGACTTCCCAAATCTACGGTTAGCTGGCTTTGAACTGGCAGCATGCTGGATTAGAATGGCCTACACTTCACCAGCTCGTCGGGAAGCTTATGTAACACTTTGCACATTTGAAATAAGGGCACAAATTGCTGTTATTATTCATTGTACTAATGAACTTGAGAAGGCTTGTTATTACCGCAGGTAGTGGTCGCACCTCGAGAGGTTCAGGATTGTTTCCGCCTCGCAGACATTTTGGAACAGTGCATCAGTAGCTGTAGTGGGAGTCACTCCTGCCTTAGCAAAGGGTCTAGGACTGGAGCAATAACCAATGGGGGATAGACAGAAATGACCAAACTGGGGAAGCAATTCATGCACCTGCCCATGGGCTTGTGGGTAGGGAAACTAAGTTCAGGAAGGAAGGAAGAACTACACAGAAATGATCTGAGCTAGCTCTTCATAAAAGACAATCTGGAATACAAGAAAAGACAGAGTGGTCCAGGGTGGACAGCTTATGAACTTCATCTGTTTAGAACTACAGCTCCATAGTCCCAAACTTCCACAATCAATGGTCCTGGATTATGGAAACTGTAGTACAACATGTGTGGAGGACTCCTACTTTACAGAGATGCGACTCTTGAGTCAACACTGTGCCTGTGTCCTACTTGAGAAAACAGGCCTCTATTTGAAGAGCAGCCACCCCACCCATTCTAATTAAAGATAAGGAACCAAAAGAAAGGAGAGCAAACAATGCAATGCCATGGTTGGAATGGCTGTGAGCGGGTGACCTGTACACCTGCCTAGTCTGCTTTCCAGGAGCTAAGTATTGATGGAAAACGTCTAGACCCTTGTTTGCTCTCCTTTTGTGTGTGCGTGCGCGCTTCTGTTTTTGCATCAGAATTAGCATATGCAAAATGCCTTGGTTCAACTCCCCTTTTGCTCTGGGGTCCAGGAACCTGTTTTTATTTGTTTGAGTGAAAAGTGAACTTCTCAGAATTCAAGCCTACACCTTGGAGACCTGCCTAGAACATCACTGCTTTCTGCTTACCCACCCCTGTTCAAACATGTCTTTGTGAAACTCAAAATCAAATGCTTTTAAAGAATGTCCAATGTATTTTAACTAGCAGAGGGTAATTTTCTAAATTAGTTTGAGCTGTTCAGGGTCAAAGGATATAAGTTTAAGATAAAAGAAGACATTTGTTAGAAGAATGTTACGAGGAATTTTTTGATGGGTAACAGGTGGAAGAGACTTCTGTTCAAGGTGATGGAGTTCAACACTGTTAAAGATATTTAAGCAATAATTGCATAAATACATTTAATTTGAAAAGGCTAAAAACAGTTGGTTGCTTCTTTTCTTCTAAGAATTAGCACTGGTCCAATTATGCCTCTAATTCATTTGAGTTATACTATACTGGGTAGGTAATTTTCAGATTGCAAAAAAGAGGAAATTTATTGCTAGACACCCCCCCCCAAAAGGGCAGTGTTTCATATGCCATTTGTGCATACCAATTTACAGAGAGAGATGCCTATTTAGACATGCTACTATAAATTGTATGGAAATACATCATCTCTCCCCATAATGAGAAAGTGACTTGTGCGGCTGCTTCAGGCTGAGCGGGCAATTTTGAAGACCCTCCCTTCTCTCCAGGTGCTCATTCTTATTCTTAATCCAGATCTGGACTGGACACCCTTTCAATCTGAGGACACCTTCAAAAGAGGACAGTCCTTTGTAAATCAGTGCACAGAGCCACCCTTGCTGTCCAGTTTATCCCTGGTTGCCTGCTTACCTGTACAGCTGTGATGCCTCTTGCCTTGTCCCAAATTCCTCTTTGCTGGATGAGCTTCTTGAGGAGCCAGTGGTGTGTCTGCTGCAAACCTTCTAGAATGAAACTGATTATCTGACTCTGTCCAGTCTGGGTCAGGCCCACTGTCAGATCTTCTCCTTGATCTGACAGTCGTTTTTGATACCATTGACTGCGATGTCGTTCTAGATGGTCTCCACAAATTGAGAATTGAAGGCACTGTTGGCTGGTTGGTTTCATTTCTATGCCACCCCATGACCCAGAGTCTTTCTGGGTGGTTTACAAAGTTAAGAAGCATAAAAACAAGTGATAAAATAACCATACTGCAATTAAACAATTGAACCAGTACAACTACATCAACAATCCACAGTGACGATAGTCAAGTTGACACACAGTGCAGCAACAATAATGATAAAAGAATATGAAAAGTAACTATTATTTACTAAAATATCTGAAAAATAAAAAGGCTTTCACCTGGTGCCAATAGGAAAACAAGATGGCACCCAGTGTACCTCTTTGGGGAGTGTTCCAAAGATGGGATGCCACCGCTGAAAAGAACCTTCTGGTCACCACCTCCATTACTTTTTTGGGTCCCTTTTTTGGGTCAAAGGTTGATCTTAGGGTCCAGGTAGGAACAGATGGGACACGGCATTTCTTCAGAAAACAGAGCCTCAAAAAATTGGTTACAAACTCATAAATGTTCCTCTCCATGGAAATCTTTAGCAAAAGATTTATATGGTCTGAAGAGATACCAATTTGTGTCAAACGTCGTATTAGAAACTTACAGTGGTTTGACTTGCTTCTCTGGAGTTGAATAGTGCCATAAGGCATTATCCTATGCCCTGTGTTATTTAATATCTGTATGAAGGTGCTGGAAATTTGGGAGCAAGTTATGCACAATATGCTGGTGGCACTCAGCTCTATTCCTCTGTGACATCTGAATCAGGAAAGGCCTTGAACATTCTGAACAGGTTCCCGAATACAGTCATGGCTTGGAGGAGAGCCAATAAGCTGAACCTGAATCCTGCTAAGATAGAGACCCTGTGGATGGGAAGATCCATCTATGTCCTAGAACTGGGCTGTCAAGATAGGGTTGCACTTCCTCTTGGGAGTGCTCTTGGATCCATCTTTGTCACTGGGAGCCTGAAAAAGCCATTAATAGCTTCACCTGGTCTCCCAGATACACCTCTTCATGCATAGGAACACCATGAAGCTAGCCATGGTTATCCATGCACCTATAACCTCACTATTAGTCTGCTGCAATGTTCTCCGTGTGGGGCCCCCAGTGCGTCTGGGCCCAGAGTCGCAGCTACTGCAGAATGCCTCTGCTGGAGCACTCAGTGGTCACCTGCATTACAAGAACTGAGCCAACCATCTCCTGGCTACAGAGCCACATTCAAGGTTAGTTTATTGACATACTGAACCCTAAACGTTCAGGGCCAGGCTGGGACCAGGATTCCTGTTCGAACTGAACTAAGCAAGCCAACTCATCCTGTATGAACCCAGACAGACTCCAAGATCTTCAGAGATCATGCTGGTTATTCTGTGATAACCAAACGTTGCCAAGTGGCAGGATCACCTCTGGAAAACACTTCCCTGTGCATTTTGGGAATCAGAAAACCTGGCATGTTTCCAAAGCCTCCCAAAACACAGAAGTCTTATCTGTCTTGTAATAATTAAAGCGATGCTTAACTACTCCAATATACTGCTCCTTTTACTGTCCTCTAGTTTTAAATTGTAAATATATTTGCATTTTTTAAAAAATTGAAATCATTTCAATAGTGTTGCAAGAGTGTACTGCAGCACCACCATATCCACTGGTTCGGTTATATTTTCACTTAATTGTGGTTGACCTCAGTCCAAATGAGAAGCCATAGAATGCTTTAAGTGAACATTCTTCATTTAACAGAGAAAGGAAAAAATCATATGGTGAGGTTGCTAGAATGTATGGTAAGAACAAATCTATCTGTGAAATTGCGAAAAAAGAAATGTATATGTACAGTATATACTACATATAGTGTTTGCTCTTATCCATAATTTCAGGCATTCACTGGGGGCTTGGAACCTGTCCCTGCAGATGCTGGGGTCCTGCTGTATATACATAGATTTTCCTATGTATATGTTAACCATTTGGGATGCAATCCAATGTGGACCCCCATCCCTCTGAACTTGAAGGATCATGCGCATCCCATGCAGGGCAGGAGGGGGATGGGTGGTGGCCTCTGAGTTCCTTTCACCCTGCAAAACACTCAGCGGGACCATTTTGCCCATCTAAGTGTACATGGGGCAGGAGAGGAGGCCGAGGCACCAGCACGATGCTTTGTATTATGTACCACCATTCCCTTACTTCGCCCCCCCCCCCCCGCCCCAGGTCCCATTCCTGAGCTCTCTCTTGTGACATTGGTGCTGCAGCCAGAGCAGTTCCTTATGTGCCAGTCCAAGGGCATGTGAACGAAGCTCTGAAGTCAGAGCAAGGCTCCAGCGTTCCTAATATACTGCTGGAGCTGGAAGGGGCCAGAAGCCCAACAGGTCCAATTCCCTGCTCAGTGCAGACCTCCAGCTTAAACCATCCCTCTCAGATGGCTGTCCAGATGCATCTGGGATACCTCCAGGGTGGGAGAGCCCACAACCTCTCCAGCTCATTGGTTCCATTGTCGTACTGCTCTAACAGTCCAGAATTTAATCCTGAAATCTAGCTGGAATCTGGCTCCCTGTCACTTGAACCCATTATTCCATGTCCTGCACTCTCCAGGAAGAGATCTTGACCTTCCTCTTTGTGACAGTCTTTCAAGTACTTGAAGAGTGCTATCGTATCTCCCCTCAGTCTTCTCTTTTCAAGGCTAAACATGGCAAGTTCTTTCAATCGCTCCTCGTAAGGCTTCATTTCCAGTCCCTGGATCATCCTTGTTGCCCTCCTCTGAACCCTTCCCAGCTTGGTTATTGGCTAACAATAGTTTCCACAAAAGGACAGCATTATTCTACTTTCCTAGATTTCTCTAACTGCTGTGGCAAATAATGGATTCTCCAGATCACACATTCATTTCTATGTGCAAGCACACTCAGGGGTAGCCGGAATTACTCACGTCAGGAATAGCCATACTGTTCAATGCGCGGCTTAGACAACCAAACCTTTTGCAGAGAAACAACATTCTTTTATTCCCGTATTCCAGGGAAAGTTTGGTCAAAATTATGACTAGTTTTTTTTCCTTTTTATGCATGTTTGTGGATTATTTTCTAACATATGCTATTTAACATTTTTAATAAGATGGATTGGATGGAGAGACACAGAGAGAGAGAGATTAGGGCACTTTAAATGATCAAAGAACCCCATGTCTGGAGCACAGAGACGTGGGGGCTGTGGTGGCGGGAAAGGAGATCCCAGTCACAAGCAGGGTCTGTTCCACTGGCAGAAGATCACTGGATACAAGCCCCAGTGTCCCCATTTCAGGTTCAACCCTGCTGTCACTCAACCATCTGATATCGCTGTTGAAATGCTCTTTTTATTCTCTCCCACATTCCTCCTTTAGCCACTGTCTGCAATCACTTGATCTTTGGACCTCTCTCCATTTCCTTTTTATCTTCTGTTTTAGCTGTGCTCCTTCTGCAGAACATCTCTGGCATGAGAGCGGTCCTCTCATTATGGGCTGAAGCTTTCCTCCTGTTAACTCACCCTGTCACTGCAACCCTGCAAGTCATTTAATGGCTCTCCTTTTTCAACATCTTCTTCTTCTTCTTCTTCTGAGGTTCCAACCCTCTCTCCCCTGCCCTGGATGCACATAAGACTGAAGGCCTGCATGCCTCCAACAGCTGCAGCAAAGGGCGGCTGCCTCTGTCTCCATCATCACTGAGCCCTGTCCTGTATTGAGGGGGAGAGAAAGTGGCCAGGGCGTCAACAGGAGTTGGTGCAGACGATGGCCCTGGCCTCCTCCGCTCTCTGCACCCACACACAGTCTTTTCCATGTCGGCTGCAAAAGGGGCACCATGGGTGCTTGGCTGTTAGAGTCTCGATACTGCAGCTGCTGTCTGTGTTCTCCGTATCTCTTCCCTATTTTGATGTTACCTTTCAGCCCTTTTTAACTCCAGCTCCTCCCTTTTCCCCACAGGTGCCTGGCTTGTGTTCCCTCTCATCTCCCCCTCCCCCGCCCCCGCCCCTCTTCTTCTTCATTCTTTTGGTTCTACGGATTGTGGGTACAGTTATCTAACGGACCAACCCAGCTGCCTATGATTTGTGTCTGTCTTGGAAAATGCTGAATTTAATGATTCAAGAAAGGGATCCTGAAAAGGGAAACAAATTCTACTGGAAGGTGGATTTTACTTTTGGGGTTACATGTCCTCCAGTTGCTTGTCAATGCTATCCAGTTAGTTCCCTGTGGATATTTTATCTCAAAAAAATTATTTTCAGCTTTGGCAGTATTATAGAGACTATTATGTTGCTGTTTATTTTTGTTGTCTACTTCCCAAAGAACCCGTGTCTTCCAACTGGGGCATAAGATACAATATAGTTACTACTAGATTTTGCATTCTTGAAACACAAACTGATTTTGCATTCTTGAAAACAGGGCATCCCCCTTTCCCCTAATAGCCCTGCCTGAAAGAGGATCAGATAGGTCAGTACATTTTGCTGCCTGAGAAAGAGAACAAATAGCCTCAAGATAGCCAAGGTGCATAATACCTTAATCTGGTCAGGGTATTCTGGTTCCCAAGGCAGACAGTCTCATAACTGCCTCTTCCTGTTTCTGGGGCAGTAAAAATGCAACCCTAATATATTACATAAATAACCATTTGTTGTGCCTTCATGATATTCAAAGTCTGAGGAAGCTGTTTAACTCTACCCAATGGTGGGGCATCCCTCTTTCCCCCATATGTTCTTGCCAGGTTGCCAAAATTATCCTCAGAGGCTTTTGTCTGGTTGTCACTGCAAAAGGATGCAAGAATGGCTATCAGCAAAGAACTGTGAGCCAGATTATTATTTATTATGGTCACATACTAGAAATGCTGGGGAATGACCTCTCGCTGCAGTGCCAGGCTGTGGAATGCCCTTCCCAGGGAGATCCGCCTGGTGTTTTCACTGTATACTTTTATTTGCTGAGTTAAAGCCATTTTCTGCCATCAGGCATCTAATCTTTGATTCCTTGCTCTGCCTGTTAGCTTTGCTTTTTAGTATTTTTATTATTGTAATATTTTGACTTTTTGTGGAGTTTATTGTTTTGGCTGTTGCTGCATTTGTGAGTTTTGGTTTGTTTGTTTTTAATTATAATTGTAAACCACCCTGAGGGTCTCTGACAGTCAGACAGTATACATTTAATCAACTAATTAAAGAGAGCACTTCAGCTGTAAGGCAGTACGAGAGAGAGAGACGGAGAGGGAGAGGGAGAGGGAGAGGGAGTGTGTTACACTTTGAAAGGCTAAAGATAGTTACAAACTGCAGCAGTGGTACACAACCATAACACTCCCAGCCTTTTTCTTCCCGCCTCTCACTGTGTTTAACATCCTGCTTGATTAAGCGTTTTGGAAAACTTAAAAGCATGCTTCTTATTGTATGACAATCAATTATTCACTTTGTTCTTCTCTTAATTTTTTCCATTCTTTAAGTACTATATCAGTTTCAAAATCTTCAGCTGGACAATCCATTTATTAGAATCAACATCCTTTCTCATAGCTCCTTTAAGGTTTCTTGCCATCCTTCCATTTGTTCATTTATCTTCTTCTCCTTTTCTTAGTTTTCCATTGGTCAATATCAAACTATTCTCTTTACTCTTT